CGAGGCGATAATACAGAGAAACTCTTACTTGTTTGAAGCATTTTGGTACCAGCTGAATCGGACGATGTCATTTTTGTAGGTCTGGCGGCAGATTCTGTAACCAGTTAGCGACAATTTTCGAATCCATATCGGTTTTGTTGACGTATGATATGAAATATTTTTACGTTAACAAGTGCGATATTGATTCGAAACTTGTCGCTAACTGGTTACAGAATCTCTCCCCTGAAAGGCTTCTTCATCCGTCAAAACATTTTTGAACCTTGGATCGACTAAGGTTAAACTGATAAAATAATGTTTCTCTGATGCGATAAGTTCAAGTGGTTTAGCCGATTTCATATAAATTAGTAAGTGCTCATTTACACACGGCGATTTTTGTTGCCGCAACTCGACGTTTGTAGGAGAGAGCGCGACGAGGAAAGGAGAGGGGCACCGAGTTGCTCGTGCTCGGGCAACACGCTTTGTGCTCTCGTTCGTCTGTGTAAATTGAACCGCTGTTCACAGCTGACAACAACAATTGCATCCACACAAATCGCCGTGTGTAAATGAAACGAGCAACACCAAAAGGGAATGTGAAAAATCGCGGCGACAAAAGTCTTCGTGTATAAACGCAGTCAATGAAAGATTTTTCTAAACTTGAAATGCATGTAATGGCGAAGGTTTAATGTAAAGAATCGGTATCGGGTACCGAAAAGGAAGTATTCGGTACCGAAATCATTTTTAAGTATTGGGTACCGACAATTCAGCACATCACTAGAGAGCAGTTTTATTTGCCGCTCTCCGCTGTCAACTCTACGATGACGTCACGCCAAAATTACTCTCACGAATTCTGCTGCAATCGGCGCAGTCTTGTATTCTATCATTCTTGGGACCAAACCAATTGTTTTTAAGAGATGGAGTCATAATTAAAAGAGTAATTTCTCGGTTTTTCGCAGTTAACCTCCGAAATCGAGATATGAGCCTTGGAAGTTCGAAATTGGACCTTTGATAAACAGATACTTTTAATTATTGTATGTAAACAACGAAAAAAGTAAAAATACGGCCGTGGTCCGCCTTTTGCTCTTATTTAAACGGTATATAACTTTTTTGTGCAAACTTATATTACAGGTGCTATAGGGGGTGAAAGGCCAGATCTGCGAAAATTAAAAAGCATTTATTTATAAAAATGTTGAACAGATTTTTAAGTGCTATAATATAAGTATGCACAAAAAAA